ATATGTGTGTGTGTATCACAACGTTCTATAATATATATGTGTGTGTGTATCACAATGTTCTATAGTATATATGTGTATGTGTCACAACGTTCTGTAGTATATATGTGTGTATCACAACGTTCTATAGTATATATGTGTGTATCACAACGTTCTATAGTATATATGTGTGTATCACAACGTTCTATAGTATATATATATGTGTGTATCACAACGTTCTATAGTATATATGTGTGTATCACAACGTTCTATAGTATATATATGTGTGTATCACAACGTTCTATAGTATATATGTGTGTGTATCACAACGTTCTATAGTATATATGTGTGTGTTGCTGCCTACTAACGTATGGAGCAGAGTATCGTATGTGTCAATTGGAGATTATGTAATCATTATAAGTGATGGAAAGATATCGGTCATAGGATGTTTACATGTGGGAAGAGATGAGTAAACATACATGTACGAGATATGTTAGCCCATCGTCGTTTAGAGATATAGCTACCAAACTACACAATCACACTGCCGTTTTTTTTCTTTTCTAAAAACCTAACTTTCATTTTGTAGAAACTGTTCTGCATTTTACCTGATCCATTTCCTAAATTTACTGATCCACTGGCCAATGTAATAAGGTATCCCTACCGTTGGTGCCACTTTCGGCGTCATTGAACATAGAGTGTTTTCCCAGAAAATCTAAATTAGATTTTAAATGGCTCTGCTGAAAAATGCATTTTGACATCTATAACAATCTACAAATGTTAAAATGGACGTTCATGTTTGACATCAATGTAAATGGATGTCTAAATATAGACCTGTATGTCTAAATATAGACCTGTATGTCTAAATATAGACCTGGATGTCTAAATATAGACCTATATTTTCCAAGCTAAGGCTGCTTGCTGCGTATGAATACATTTTGTTCGATTAAAGTTAGTAACAGGCTGTAGATTTGTATTTCTCCATACACCTATTGCAAATGATGGACCAAGTTGACCTTGTTCAATATCAAGGTCAAAGAAGCCTTGGAAACTTGGGATTGACGTAAATAGTCTTTATAAAGATCTGGAGAATTTGCTGATGCCTACTGCATTTGTATTGCATACTAGTCAAGTGCTATGGGGATTACAAAGCTGAAATAAGATTGGCCCTGGTGTCCAGTCAGTTCATAGATCATAAAATAAGATTGGCCCTGGTGTCCAGTCAGTCCATGGCCCTGGTGTCCAGTCAGTTCATAGATCATAACATATATTCTGTCCTTGGAGTTGCCCTCTGGATGCTGAGAGCCAAAATTGGGAAATACTTGCAGCATGTATTTTGCCATGATTGCTTAATAACCAGTTGGACAATACATTTCCTCTGGGCCTTTTGTTCCGATTTTGCCCATTTAAAATTCCCAGTTGAGAAATCTAAAGAAATCAATGCATAAATGTAGATAAATTCCTCATGACTGAGTTCTCAAAATGTGGCATACATACATGTATGTAGGACAGAAGGATCATGTTGTCATAAAAGCTTAAATAAAACCCCCATAAAGGTTTGTTTCCCAACACTGTCGGATATGTCCCTGGCATTCTATGGTATAGTGTGTATACAGTCAGAAAATAAAATGGTAATGACCTTGACATTGCACTTACTTCATTCCAGCTCCTGTTGTCTGTAAAAGAATCTAATACATATGATACACAACAAATAATGATATTTAAGAAAGGAACATACATTTTTAGGTCACCTGAGCTTTAGCTCAAGTGACCTATTGCTATCCGTTTTCGTCCGTCGTCGTCCGTCGTCCGTCGTCCGTTAACATTTTACATTTCAAACTTAAAGTCAAGTTCTGCTGGGCCGATTGAACTGAAAGTTGGTAGGAATGANAATATAATCATACCAACACCTACGCTGGTAGCTCAGGATCCTGACATTTGGCAGAACCGTAGTTTTATGATCTGCACAGATTAGACTGGAATTACTTCATGACTGATTTCTGAAGTGTTAAAGTGTTCATAAAAATGTACCCTCCTATACATAGGGAGGCACGGTGGTAGGATGCCGGGCTCGTGACTGAAGGGGTGAGGGTTGGAAAGCATAATGTTCCACTCTAAATTGTTCCAAAACTGATGAATTTTTAGCAAGGGAGATAATCATGATGTTAAAAACATAAGAGACATCATTGATGAACCATATGATTTTTCCAACAGGATATTAACTCACTTTGATAAAAGAACAATCAATATTCTTCCTAATGCTGTAATATTCAATTATATGAAATGTAAGTTAAACAGTTCATAGATAATTGCACCCCTTTACCATAACATTTAATTTTATGAAATTATAGTTGCACAACTGACTATATTTCTTAAGTTGTAACTCAAAACATATTTGGTGGTCATAAATATATGTATGTAAGTATACACTCGCACAAAAGAAATCCATTATACGTAGAAAAGGGAAAGACAAGACTTCAGGCTAAAACCTCGGCTGTATTGTTCATCTGATAATGGAGGTTATAATTTTTTGACAACAATACAAGGATCTTGGTCAGCAACCGTAACTAGTCGGCATTGATGCAGATTACATCACGCAGCCGGTTTTAAATTTCCTTTCATTGATTGTTGGCGAGCGACCCAAATAGTCAAGCTATATTGTTCTGTACCCGTCGGGCCTCCATCGCGATAGCGATAGACAGCTATATCATGTGTCTTTTTGAGCGTTGTGACAAGGTGTCGGTCATCTGACATCTGATATATGATATGGTACCCTGAGTTGGGTAGTCTACATAGAGCTTTTATCAGCATTTAATACACTGTACGGATATCCTATGTATGATACGATTCTGATCTTTCCGTACTATAATAGGGTTATAAATATTTCGTGGTGTATATCTGTTATGTTATTGTCCTGTTCACCTCTCAGACCAGTTAGAATAATTAGGGCAAATTAATATTAAATTGTAGGCATACAGACTTAATTAAGGTGATGTGAGGGCTGTATACCGGTCCCTGTTACTTGTGCACTACAAGATACACACACTATTAGGTAGGATGTGAGAAGATTGTAAATAGTCAACAGACAGTTCAAAAGATTTTTTATTTAATTTGACCTCCTTATGAAGAGACTCAAGAATAGCATTCAGGCATTGCGCCAAGAGATATAAACGTAGATAACTTACACCACAGAACTCCCGTAATGTGTTATAAAGCAGAATTTAGACAGAATATCACCAGGACATTTGAATATCCTCAGGAGAAACCCTAACGTTGGACGAGATCTAGAGTGTAACTGTGAAACTTGAGATGTACATTTATCATATGGGAGAGTGTACTCCAAGTGGCTGCTGTCCCCAGGCACATATATAACTGTGTGGACAACCAAGTTAATTACATATATCTACGTTTTACCTACCTTCCAGGTGTACCTTGTGTAGGTGATTTTGTGTGATAGTCATCATTGGGAAAGGCTATTAGGGAATTGTCCTCTTGTTAATTTACTAACATTATGAGAAATTCTACCTGTGGCTATGAGGCAGTTAACGAACAAATGGTAGATATTTAACTTATTTCATTGTGAATGGGAAGTGAACTTGGTGTTGTTCCTTGAACATAAGTACAGCTATTACATTGTGGGAACCATACCCTGACAGTACTACACTGGACAGAGTGGGAACCATACCCTGACAGTACTACACTGGACAGAGTGGGAACCATACCCTGACAGTACTACACTGGACAGAGTGGGAACCATACCCTGACAGTACTACACTGGACAGAGTGGGAACCATACCCTGACAGTACTACACTGGACAGAGTGGGAACCATACCCTGACAGTACTACACCGGACAGAGTGGGACCCATACCCTGACAGTACTACACTGGACAGAGTGGGAACCATACCCTAACAGTACTCCACTCGGACAGGGGGGGAACCATACCCTGACAGTACTACACTGGACGGAGTGGGAACCATACCCTAACAGTACTACACTGGACAGAGTGGGAACCATTCCCTGACAGTACTACACTGGACAGAGTGGGAACCACACCCTGACAGTACTACACTGGACAGAGTGGGAACCACACCCTGACAGTACTACACTGGACAGAGTGGGGACCATACCCTGACGGTACTCCACTCGGACAGAATGGGAACCATCCCCTGACAGTACTACACTCGGACAGAGTGGGGCCCATACCCTGACAGTACTACACTGGACAGAGTGGGAACCATCCCCTGACAGTACTACACTCGGACAGAGTGGGACCCTTACCCTGACAGTACTACACTGGACAGACTGGGAACCATACCCTGACAGTACTACACTGGACATAGTGGGAACCATACCCTGACAGTACTACACTGTACAGAGTGGGAACCATACCCTGACAGTACTCCACTCGGACAGAGGGGGAACCATACCCTGACAGTACTACACTCGGACAGAGTGGGAACCACACCCTGACAGTACTACACTGGACAGAGTGGGAACCACACCCTGACAGTACTACACTGGACAGAGTGGGGACCATACCCTGACGGTACTCCACTCGGACAGAATGGGGACCATACCCTGACAGTACTACACTCGGACAGAGTGGGGCCCATACCCTGACAGTACTACACTGGACAGAGTGGGAACCATACCCTGACAGTACTACACTGGACAGAGCGGAGAATGTAATTACGGCCAGCAGACCAGAGAGATATAGGGATGGACAGATGCTTACAAATTGTCATTAAGAAAATTAAGTAGACAGAGTGTTGGAGCCAAATAGTGTGACAAACACATACAGTCGTACACATTACAGAGGGGGACCTGATTGAGGGACTGATGTACAGAGTGTACGCTAATTTATACAGCAGGGACGGGGATTGATGGAGACCCAGAAACAGGGAGATAAATTACACTGGCTTCATTACTCCCACCCTAGTCCTCACAGTCAGCCTCACCACGACTGGCCAACACAGTCAGCCTGAAGGCCGTGACTGGACCCACACAGCTGTCACTTCCTATTGCCATGGTCACATGACCCGTGTGTTTTGGTGTTAGGATCGTGGGTTTATTGGCCTCTCCAGTTTTACCTCTAGTTATACCTGGTTTGTTAGGAGACGCAGGTGTTATCCAGGGTCTATTTCACACTGACAATACCTATCACCTATAACTTAGCAGTGATGACTGGTGCAGACCAGATAAAAGAACTGCTCATTTGCAAAAATCAATGAATTTCACCTATAGATTTTCCTTGGATTTTCTGATAAAAATGGTTGTGACACCATCACTGTGTGTGATAGAGAGTGCTATACGTCTGTTGTTGTGACGGGTGTATATATAACAGGCTGCAGCACTGTGATTGGTAGATTCACTGACATATGGGGTACGTACGGTATATATACAAAGGAACCAGAGTTGTCTCTTTACCACAGCTATTTGAAATACAGCATTGTCATGGTCGTATAAGTGTCTCTCAAGTTGTCTAACATATCGTACTAGTGTGTCGACGTACTAGTGTGTCGTAAGGACGTCTTTGTCGGTATTTATTTGACCAGCTTATGGTTTAGTTCGGCCTGGGACACTTGGAGGATACAGTATTGACGCTGGACAGGAGATGCTGCATAGCTACATATACCCAGATTCTACAAAGGACATACGTATATATACAATCTATGGATGTGCGACCCTATTTATTTGACCAGCGTATATATACAATCTATGGATGTTCGACCCTATTTATTTGACCAGCGTATATATACAATCTATGGATGTGGGACCCTATTTATTTGACCAGCTGATTGACAATACATAGCTATACCCTGCCTACCTAGGACATTTGTATACATTCTGCGGATGAGGGACCTTATTGTAGGTAGTTATTTGAACAGCTGATGGACATACAAATTAAAGCTAGCCTATACCTATACCCGGTTTTAACACTGATGTGGGGCCTAACAACACTTGTCAATCGGTCTCATTGTAAGTAAATTACTGGTCTTTACCTTTAGAAGAAACTCACAACCAGGTGGGATATCCGGACTTTATAATCCTACCATTATTACTTAGCAGGTGGTGCTGTCATTCTGTGTGTGTATTCCCAGGAGTTATTCAATATTATAGTGTTGGTGGATATTATTACAGGGACACGACTTTTCACAGTTATTCTAGTTGTGTTTTAATACCCATTACTCCAGTGACTGAGGATGTATAACCGGATTTAATATCGACCCTGCATAGCAGCCTAATGTAAGCAGTGTAAATCAATAGGGGATATATACCAGACAAACTGGAATGTTTTCACCAAAGTTTGAAAGAAGTCAGTGTGTAAGTAAATTCATAGATATTTTTTTCATTTTGAGAAAAAGTTAACTGTTGATTTGTCAGCTATAGGTAGGTGTATATACTGATATTACGATAAAGTGACAGTTATTATAGAAAGTTTTCTGTACTCCAGTATATATAAGTGATAGGTTATCAGGACCGTTATCCAGGCAGATATTATATTGTACTGTGGCCAGTCAGACACTGTAGGGTATGTGTTGATGTTGACCCCAGCTGGGCTGATACAACCCTAAAGAATGTTCACTAAATTTGATACTTTATTGGCTTGGCAAGAGCTTAAACTGGAGGTGTCTAATGAGTGCCTGCTGTGGGGAGGGGTGAGAGATAAGTAACTGACCACACTGGTCATCTCAGATAATGGTCAACTTTAACATCCTGGTGGTCAGTTCAGCTGCTGTGGCTGAGGGTACATAGTGACCAGTGAGGACCGCCTCCAGCTGAGGACTACTACAGTTTCTGTAAGTTTGATTTGTACAACAGATAAGTGGTGCCATTGACTTTGGGACAAAAGGGACAGAGGGTTTGAGTTCCACCCTTGGATATCTGCTTGTTATGAAGTTTTTCTGACATTGCTCCATCAACAGTAGGAGGAGGATGTTCACACAGCTGTCCCCCGGCCATACAACATGAGGATTCCCATAAAATCACACGGCGGCCAAACAAACTAAGGGATTTAGTATTGAATCTGTCAGACTTACATATAATATCAGTGGGAGGTTTAAACAGTTCTACAGGAATACATCTAGAACCTCAACGCTGTATTAAATAGTGTATGTTTGAGTGTATCTGTTGATATATACTACTTTTATCAGCTAACATTCAGTAAGAAAAAAAATCTACATCAGAGTGTGTTTATTTAAGAAGCTGTCTATATGGCGTACCAATTCAACTTTTGAAAAGTTTAGGGAGGACATCATTTTGATCTAGGTCATCACCAAGCTTTTGAATCAAGCATCTGAATCAAGACTGTGATTGTCTTCATAGTGCTTGGCAAGCTACCAAACTTATCGGATGCAGATAGTTATCAAATTATCTTAATTACTCCACAACAAATTGTGAATACCACTGTAGGGAAGATACTTTTAAAAACTTTGCTGAAAGACACTGTTGTGATGACGGAGAAGGAGTGTTAAAACAAGATAATACTTGGTAACAGACAGACGAGGATTACACATCATTGCTCGACACGTCTGTCCCAATGTACATCTGTGTCACGGGGTAGGTACCACAGTAAAACCTCAACTTATTCATTTGTTATTAATATTTAGCATGATATTGAAACTGAAATTGTCTTAAAAAGGAATGAAATAATGATTAAATAATAGCTTCATGCTAATTGATTTAAATTCTTTTAATTATTCTTGTACAAATGACTAATTAAGTGTCAAATTATAACAGAAACTAAGTTTATTTTGACAGCCAGTGATGAAAGTAATGTGTTGTCTTTGGTTTTGATCAGTTTAGTTTGCATGTAAATTGTTGTTTTAACTTTTGAGTTGAGTAGCTATTTTTACTGCCACCCCCTCCCTCTAGGAATGACGTAAGAGGGGAGGGGGTGAATAAAGTATGGTAAAGGGTGTTGAAAGCTGGGTGTAACAGTATACTTTGTTCAGCTTGCCGTTATAAAACGTATTGTCTGAATTCTCAGAAACAATGGCTTCAAAGCACAACTTGAGGAGACAATTCGAGCACGGTTTGAGGCTAAGGAAGAGGCCCTAAGCGAGTATGGGAGGGTAACATTGAAATGGTAAATGTCTGTGTCTGCCGTGTTTATACCATATTTACTCCAATTAACACCTTCTTGGTATTACAGTTTTCGAAAGGGGAATATCAAATAGATGCACAAGAGGAAAGGGTGTCAGCTAACAAACTCCTCTTATTATCAACAAACTGCAATATTTAATTATTATTAATTTAAGAATTTAATCACATTTATGTTGCCTACCTAATCAGTACACTTTGAGGTGGCTACTGATAGGTCTGTGATAAATGTCAATCCTCTACACCTCAAAATCACGTTCAGATGGCATGGGTCTTCAGTCTGAAAGCTGTCAATTTTGCAGAAGTAAAAGGAAAACATGCAGCAACTTAACTATTTTATATTGATATGAAGAGAGCGCCCAATTTGTGCCAAAGCAAAGAAAAGTGAATGGATTTGTAAAGAACCTCAAAATGATATAAGTAAGGAGCTAGTTGACATGTATGTTTTGAATATACATGTATTGGTAAAATTTAATTGCATTGCTTACCAAGAAATGAGAAACTGAAGTCACAGGAATGGGAACGCAGCTTCTGGGGTTAAATTCTCCATGTTTTGGACAAAGTACAACAAACAGATGCACCTACAAGTTGTAGGGAGTCAATATGTCAAACCATTTAAAAAATGATAGAACTTTACGATGGATGACAGAGCTGAAGAGCCCTGTTGATAATACTAGGGCTTGATCGAGGAGTATTCGTGATTCTGTGGATCACAGCGGCCTGCAACAGCATTGATTTCTCTTGGTGTCATTCTGAGGTCATTCAAGTAAATGTCAAATCACCAATGCCCTTAATTGGAGTGAGGAAAGAATGTTTCAGAATGACTCTTGTGTAAAATCCTAAATTTTGAAGGTTTTGAATCAAAACCGATTATGTGGCGGAAAATTTGATAATTTGACAAACCTGCAGGGATATCTCATCAAAGAAGGGAGATAACTATGTTCACACAGCACACTAAGGATACCGTCAAATGGGGTGACAAATTGTATTGGATAAAAGGTTAACAAATACTTGATTTTCTTTTTGTAATTTCCTTTGGTTAAACTCAGGGCAAGGAAGTTGTTTTAGTGTCAACAGAAAAAAGGGGGGGTGCGGGTGGGGTGTTGATCTATTAGAGAAGGGACGTTAATTGGAGAAAATATGGTGATCCTATATAACCTTGCTTTACCTGGATATATAACATGTGCTCTAACTCGTCGCTGTGTATCTCCTGTATATACCAGAATATGTAATTCTTATTCTCATTTCAGCAATAATTACCATAACATTAGTATGTACATTCAATACACCTATCCTTTATATTCCAATATAAATGACTCCAGTCCCATATACCTTTTTTCCTATACATGTAGCTTGCTGGATTTTATTGTATTCAAGTTTGCTAGAAGAAAGATGTTTAGAAAAATATATTTTCCTAATCCTGTTCTGATTTACTTGTATTGAAATGATACACAAGTTTCTGTTTAGCCTTTAAAGCTTGCCAGCTATAGGAAAAGGATACCTCTCTTCAGGTTGGAAAAGGAAAATTAATGAATTAAAAAGTCCTTCCGCAGTACAAGTATAACTGGTTTAAGGAGAAGGACATTGAGGTATAGAGCGAGATCTATCAAGTTTAAGAGAAGTAGAATATTCACTTGTGAACAAGGCTGGCACAGTGTTCATTTATTGGATAAATAAAATTTAGCTATTGAAGAAGGCCAGTGGTAGTATTACTGGCTTGGAGAAGGAATATTTTAACTAATGAACACGACTTTTCCCATTATAACCAGCTGGGAGAAGGAGATAGCTTTAATCCATTACTGGATGTGCTTGTTAATTACATTATGTTGCAAGAGTGATATTCTTGTACAGTCGTGTATCCTGTTTTTTTCACAGTCACATTGAGGCTTGGGTTTAGGATGAAGCTGAAGGGGTTATAGAGTTTGGAATAAGTATCTGTATGACATTGAGATGATACTTAAGGTATATCAAGGTGACTTTAGTATAGAGTGGGAGGTCAGACAAACCTCGTCACTGAAATCTCAACAGGAGCAACATAAAACACACATGATCCAATTTCAGGGAGAAACATCAGTTATATTGTATATATGTATGTTAAGACTTGGAACAAGATCTACTTACCACAGTTATATTGCATATTGAATATGTAAGACTTGGGACAAGATCTGCTTACCATAGTTATATTGTCTCTTGTATATGTAAGATTTGGGACAAGATCTGCTTACCATAGATATATTGTATATTGTATATGTCAGACTTGGGACAAGATCGGCTTACCACAGTTATATTGCATATTGAATTTGTAAGACTTGGGACAAGATATGCTTACCACATTTATATTATATATTGTATATGTAAGACTCGGGACAAGATCTGCTTACGTCAGTTATATTGTATATGTAAGCCTTGTATATGTAAGACTTGGGTCAAGATCTGCTTACCACAGTTATATTGTATATTGTATATGTAAGACTTGTATATGTAAGACTTGGGACAAGATCTACTTACCACAGTTATATTGTATATTGTATATGTAAGACTTGGGATAAGATCTACTTACCACAGTTATATTGTATATTGGATATGTAAGACTTGGGACAAGATCTACTTACCACAGTTATATTGTATATGTAAGACTTGGGATAAGATCTACTTACCACAGTTATATTGTATATGTAAGACTTGGGATAAAATCTACTTACCACAGTTATATTGTATATTGGATATGTAAGACTTGGGACAAGATCTACTTACCAGTTATATTGTATATTGTATATGTAAGACTTGGGACTAGATCTGCTTACCATAGTTATATTGTATATGTAAGACTTGGGACAAGATCTGCTTACCACAGTTATATTGTATATTGTATATGTAAGACTTGGGATAAGATCTACTTACCACAGTTATATTGTATATTGTATATGTAAGACTTGGGACTAGATCTGCTTACCATAGTTATATTGTATATGTTTGACTTGGGACAAGATCTGCTTACCACAGTTATATTGTATATTGTATATGTAAGACTTGGGATAAGATCTACTTACCACAGTTATATTGTATATGTTTGACTTGGGACAAGATCTTCTTACCACAGTTATATTGTATATTGTATATGTAAGACTTGGGACCAGATCTATACTTACCACAGTTATATTGTACATTGTATATGTAAGACTTGGGACAAGATATGCTTACCACAGTTATATTGTATATGTAAGACTTGGGACCAGATCTATACTTACCACAGTTATATTGTATATGTAAGACTTGGGACTAGATCTATACTTACCACAGTTATATTGTATATTGTATATGTAAGACTTGGGACTAGATAACATGTATAAAACTCCATCCTTTGTGGTATATGTACCAGTAGGTAAAATTATACAACACTGCCCATATGTTACTCATTGTAATCCTCTTTGTCCCAGACCTAAGACTGAAGTGTAGGTGTAGATGCTACATAGTGTATTTACTGGGGGTCAGTCTACACTATAAATGTCAATGCCTCCCTTGTGTGTTTATGGTGAAAGGATATTGTATCTGTTCTCTCAGACCACCAAAAAGAGCAGTCTGCTTAGGAATTGGCTCGTGAATAGAAGTAAATAATGGGATTTATGTCTTCAGGCGAACAAAAAAACATCAGGGACATCTTTTTTTCAAATTTTGTTTTAGCTTGATACTTCAGGACAGTTAATCTTACAAACCCATCAGACACAGCACATCATACATCACCCAATGGCTGTCCCATTGTCCATTGTTCAACACTGAGGTGGTGACAGAGTGTTCAAAAGTGGTTTTATCCCTTTCTAAATCCAACACAGCTAGCCTGAGTCCTCTGATTGGCCTCAACAGTTTGACTTCTTCACCAGGTCCCACCAGCTAGGTCAATTTAACAAACATTGAAGAAATAAGATGTCTATTTCACGCCTCGTTGTCAATGCAGTGAATGTGATTGTACAAGATTAGTATAGCCAGTTATATATATAATTATCTACCTACCTGGTGATGGTGAAATATGAAATATTTAATATTGCACCTTATCTATATAGAATACACATTACATAGAATATATAAAAAGTTGATTCAACCATTTAATACAATCAATACAGTAGGATGATTTCCCAGGAACTCCCATATCAGGTACCAACTATTGGTTCTATGTCACCTGACTTAATACCTCCACATGTGTGTGCATGACTGTATGTTGAAGGCTTATTGGTACCCTGTTTTGTGGAGGGACCCTGTTTTGTTGAGGGACCCTGTTTTGTGGAGGGACCCTGTTTTGTGGAGGGACCCTGTTTTGTGGAGGGACCATGTTTCTAACAGAATTTTTTTCCATAGTACCATCTCATTTTAATGCAGTTACAGCATAGTCACTTACAGCATAGTCACTTACAGCATAGTCACTGCATAACCCACCCCAGACCATTTTATCCACTGGGTATATTAGAGTTGTGTGAGCAAGAGAAACATATTTTCTCAACATAGCCAGTTGTAGACTGTTTGAATAAGGAGGAAGAGATCAGTATTGTTAAAATGAATGACCTTGACATACCTTCAAGGTCATACATATAGAAACACGCTTCCAAAGAGTTGATTGATCCACTTTTAAGGTGTCTTACATATTAAAATCTTCAAACAATTTCTTCTAACGATCCTCAGATCCTGGATTAGTTATATTGGCCAGTAGCTTGTTGAGATGAGGAGTGTTGATTTTGTTCAAATCAATGAACTGGTCTTGTAGTCCATGTATCGGATCAAATATGTTACAATATTCAAATGACCTCTGTTAAAGATCCCGTTTTAAAGTGTTTTGCTATTTAAACGGTAGCTTGCTTGTGTAACAGGTTATCAGGTTTCTCACTACCTTGTGGCCTGTAGTTTAAGTTTGCCATAAAAAAACACCTTTGATCTTGACCTATTCTAACAGGAACAGAAGTCTAAACCTTTGTTTAACTCATTCACCCTTGAAGACAC